AAGTTAACAAAATTCATATTCACAGACGCCAAAAGTAAGTTTATGGAAAACGAGGGAAACGTAATGAAACCATGTGAATGATCCGTCATTTTCTATTGTATTTTGATCAGATGTAGGCTAATAATGAACTGTAATCGTAATAAACAGAAACTTAACAGCGGGTATTTTTGCAAAATGGTTGTAGTTCCGAGTCAGCAGTGTTGGAGAGTAACTAGTTACATGTAACGGCGTTACGTAATTTAATTACAAAATAAATGTAACTGTAATCAGTTTTCAGCCTCTGCCGCCTCAATATATGAGTACATGAACACATAAACATAATCTCTAGAACTGCTCTGAGTCACTTCATGAGCATTTGACTTATTTTGAGAAAACTATCGTCATATCATATACAAAGAGACACCAATGTTTCAGGAGTTTAGTACACAGAATAGAACACATGCTTATTAGATAACCATATTTGAGTTGATGTATATGCTTTTATTTATTATTATTTTTTAATTAACTATTTATTTTCCAAACCATTGTTAGATGCAGTGTTTCCTGTAGTTATGCAAAGATTTGGTTTCAAAAACAGTATCAGTAAACTATTTCTTATGATTTTAAATTTGCATTGAACTTCAGATCAATCTCAAAGTAGAAGGTGGTACTAAAGTCTGATTTTGTGGTGGATGTGTTCAAATCTGATCATTTTAATTCAAGTGATGAAGGATTGTGAAAGTCTGACCGTAATTGAAAAAGTTACACTACTATTACATTTTAAATAGGGTAACTTGTAATCTGTAACCTATTAAATTTCCAAAGTAACCTTCCCAACACTGCGAGTCATTGCCTTGGCTTAGAGGCCCAAATGCTAAAAATTATGCATCCAGAATTCTTTTTGAGGAGTTACAAATACATACACATATGCATAATGCATTTTACATCTACCTCCAATAAACTCGTATCACAATCCATAAACAAGACCATTGCATCAGTTATTTGATTAATCTTGTGAAAAACCTACAAATAGTTGATGAAATTTGAGATCAAATGTTAAAATTGTTTCTGACTCCTCTTTGACAACATGAGACCCCTTCCTTGAACTAATAGTCATTGAAGCATTGCGTTTGAAATTACATATATTCATGTCTAACCACAGTTAGATGGGTTTTGATGCTTTCATTTAAAAAAGTAAAAAACATTGGAAAAACTTTTTTCTTTGGTTACGATACTGTTTATGTTATAAAATGTTTTATCCCCGATGTCAGTGCCCCCAGTAGTAACCCCTGGAAGAGAACCAATTACAGGTTGATACTTATTTTAATTTTTAATAAATATAGTAGTTTCAATTAACAGGTTTTAGATATTCTTTTTTTAAAACATTTACTGGTTTTGAGCCACAGTCATACCGTGGCACATCCTACAGGTCTGAGCACTGAGCAGGGCTGTAGATTGATGTATAGAGGGATTTGCATGTTCAGATTAGCAGGCTTGTTAGTCAGATAAGGCCAGCAGAACTGGAAGAGGCATAAAGAAAGAAATCCAGGTCAAATCACAGAGAGTCTTAGGGGTCACACACTGTGACAGAGCGCTAATCCAAATCCATTTAGTGCATGTCCGCTTTATAAACACCGTTATGCCAAGATATACAAGCCTGTGAAACTTTACATACATTGTTACTTAATATGTGAAATAATGTATGATTTAAATAAGAATGCCTAATTCACATTTCACAACCAGCCTAACCTTTTACCAACACACTTCTTAACTATTTGAAGTTTGAATATGAAGTTTCTATTTGAAGTGTATATTTGTTCATTCCTGTAGACATCACTTTTCTCACAATTTCTGCCATATTACACGGTTTTGTTTCTTTTCAATTAATTTGAACACATTTGCATGAAATTATTGAAAGTTGTATTGAAATAACATTAAATCCATATAATCACTTGCATGTCGCTAGTGTCAGAACCAGTGTTCATTGTACTGGACATTAAATAAGTTATAAACTTTTTTTTGTTGTTATCGTTTTTATGAAATGAAGCATGTTACAATTATAAACTTTCTAAAGTGACCTGATGGATATTATCTAAATAATACTAAATTATTATCACAATAAAAGAAAAACAACTAATATTTTGAAAGAGCTTATACAGGATCTTTGGACACATTCTGCTGATTGTAAGTTTACTTTTCAGCATTCTTGGTGGTTATTTAAAATCAAACTTAGTAATGTGAAAGTAAGTGAATTATGCTGAAGTTTCCATTTTAAAAAGCTGTTTAAGAAAGCTGTTTTGATTGGGCTGCTCCCTTTGATGTCATAAAATTATAAATAAATATTAAAAGGTTTAAAAATATATATGAATTAAGAAACTAACAATTTGATTAAAAATCCAGGGTCCTGTACAGCTTTACTTTAAACAATATAAAACTAAATGCATTTTTGTTATTTATTATAAACATGTATGAATTAAAACATGATACTATACTTATATTTAGTCAGTCACTACAGTTGCTAGAAATATTAAAAGGAAATAATCAGTAGCTTCTTTAACTTTCTTAAGAGACATACCCAAATCTACATCACAAAACTATTGTAATATTTTCCTCATCCTTTCCCTTCTTATAAACAATATTTTATAATAAATATGTAAGATTATCCATGTAGAAAGCAAAATGTATGTTTATCCAAATTAATGTGTTTAATTATTGATTAGGCCATCAGAGAAGTGAGATGGTAATTTGAGTGCCACAGTTTTTTGATTGAACACTCTTACTGTAAAAGATCCAAAGAGTGTTGTAATAATCTATGGTACACTGAACACAATGTTGCACAGTCATTTACCACATAAAGTATGAACACACAACTATATAAAACAGCTTTTCTAACATGTCCAATCAGACATAAGTTAAATATAGGCTGCTATATACTTCATAACACCCTATATAAGTTCTATTGTATTTTTGAGATTATTGATGAGTTTTGCAAATATCATGAGGGTTGTGTAACAGACTGTCCCTTTAATAGCAAACTGCCACCTACCTAAATGAACAGAGCAGCTTTTAGCAGAGGAAATCAAGTTGTTTGGACTACCACTGAATGACCTCAAGGGAAACGTGATGAGTCCTTCATGTATAATTGCCATCTTACTCATTGCTGCGATATTCCCAGAGGAATAAGAAACTAACATAATTGGCATCAGTTTGAGGGGACCTATCACACACCTATTGCCCACAATCCAATCATAAGTCATAGGGGAAAGTACAGCTTTATTTATGCATGCTGTAGACATAAGCAGCATGTCAATGTTCAGTGACCCCCAGCTTTATTTATGTAGTTGTGTGGCACACCTGGGAAGTGTGCTATTAAACATTTGAAGCTGACTTGGCAGAACCTCATGTGGTTCCTCGTGATCTGGTTTATATAATAGGCTCGGGTCACAAATGTAAAACTGTGCAGGGAACACTTTATTTTAAGGGAATGTAAAATGGGGAACTTTACCTGATTAAATCTCGAATGAATGCACTTCAATGTTACAAAAACATGGAAATAAAACACTAGAATTAAAAAAAAAAACAGTTTTGATTCTAATCCCAGATCTTATTTTCCCACCACTAGATGGCACAGCAACAGAGAGTCAAGGACAGGTCACACTGTCAAAATAAACAAGCCACCAAAATAAATGTAACATTTAGAACTTTAATTTAATTTATTGAGACTAAAATACTTTGTATATTTTTCCATGTTCCAAAAATACTTCATTACAGTCCATCAGCAAAACACATGATCATCACAAACTGTGCTTTATCAGTAGTAATTCAAATTTCATGTTCACTTTCCCACAGTCCCTAAAAAATGTAATTCACTGATAATTACAAAGGATGAGACCTAAAAAAAATTATGTTGCCATTTTAAATGCATTTTAGTGCAAAAATAAAGGTATTACCCATATACAGTTTACGATATAGCATTTTCAAGATATTTACCAAAACTTACTGATACATTATTCAGTTATGTGTGAAAGCTGGAAGACCCGTGATACAAGCACTTAGTCAATTTTCTGAATTTTACTTTGGCCAACATCTTGATAAAGTACTGTAATACTCTGATTTGTGAAGGAAAATGCACCTTTTTAAAAGGTCTGTCTGAAGAGGCACTTTCTGGTGAGTCAATACATTTCCAGCAATTAATTTTTCTAGGAAAACAATTAACTGGTAAAGTGGATAATTCCCAAATGTGTAGTAGAGAAAAACTTGGTTTAGGACAACCTGTTTAGGATTTGAAAGATTTGGTCCACAATTGCGTTACATTTTATACCAACTCTGAATTACAGTTTCTGTAATCTACTTCAAATTCAAGTGTACATACATTATTAACAAACTACTTGCACACTGCTGTTAGCTGTGAGTGAGACTTATGGTACGTTTACACGACAACGGTGTTGTCAAAAACATCAAAGTTTTTCCCTTGCGTTTTTAAAAAGTTTCACATATACACGACAACGTTTTCAAAACGATTCGCGTTTACACATACCCACGAAAATGGCCAAAAATGCTGTATTACGTATGCCAGGCCAGTAGTTGGCGCTGTCACCTTGTTAGTAAACACTAATAGTACCTAGGGAAGTGCAGATTATATGATGTACTGTATATGAGGCGTCTCCGCTGTTGGTTGTAATATTGGTGAAGTAAATCCACACTTTGCTGAAGAAGCGTTAGCAAACTCTTGAGCAGCAACAACAGTACCATATACTCCACCACTGTTGTTTATGTTTGTTCGCGCTTGCCTTTAAAATCGACATGTACTGCGCATGTCTACATACCTAACACGTACTATGCACGCGCATGACGTCACCGTTTTCAAAGATTCCCGTTTTGGGTGTTTACATGGAAACGACAACGGTGCCGTTTTAAAAAGCTTCCACTTTGAAACCTGTTTTCAAAAATATGCATTTTCAGTCCCCAAAACGCCGTTGTAGTGTAAACGAACAGTCAAAACGCATAAAAAGTTTCCAGTTTTTGGTTGAAAACGTTGTCGTGTAAACGGCCCCTTAAAATGCTGGTACAGATCCACAACACCAGTGTGCCAAAATAGTCCATGCAGCTTACACAAAATAAGGTGAAAAGATCCTAAATTCCCTAGTAATACAAAAACAGCCTCAAAATGACACAAAAATATAACAAGAGAACAACAGATGACAATCAAGACAAACCCACTCACGACATCCTCAAATCAGTCACTTCTGATACAATTAAATAAAATTGCTGTGCAGTAGATCTAAAGATTAGTTACTGCTGAGTCTAATGATTCACTAGAAGCGTATAGTGCATCAGTGTAAACAAAAATGCTGTTCCAACACGCTGGATGGTTGAATTTGCTACAGTGTGTTATTAATAGTTCTAATATGCACTTTGGACTTAGAATAGCACATTGAATGTCTCTAACAAGGAAACGCAAGAATTGGCACTACAAGTATGTCCACTTTGGTTTGCAAAGGCACTATATGGATGGATGGGTCCCATTTTTATGCCTGTTCTTCACTCCTTTTTTAATGCCAAGTCAGAAGTGACATTCTTTTTGATAATTGCACTTACATCCAAGTTCACGTGGGTTTTAAAGTCACTCAAAGCTCCAGCGCTGGTGTTTGTCTCCAGGAGAGCAACTTCTCATCTGGATATCTGCACGGCCGTCTTCTGTGCGGTAGGAGGTGATACACATGTTTGAATGAGGGTGATATATGCTGCCATCCTGAAAAGACACAAATGCTAGATAAGGAATTTTTGGCATGAAGATGCAACAGAGCAGATTTGATATACAATAACTTTGTTTGTTTCTTATCTCATCCTGTTTGCTGATGGCACTTCAGTGATAATGTGAGCTGTAGGCGAGCAGACTCACATCTTTGAAATCCCATATGATGCCAGGAGGTCTGGGAGCACCGTCATGCGGACAATGCTTCATCCCTATGTGTGTCATTCCATCCTGAACCTCAGCACACAGCTCTGTCACGGAGTTAAACCGAATCTCCTTTTGAGATGTGTACTCGAAGTACTGCGAAAGAGGAAGAAATAAAATTTTGTTTGAAAAGAAATTTGGCGCATTTGCATTTCTGGTTTTTTTTTTTTTTTTCAGAATATATATCAGAATAAGAATGAGCTTTATTCACCAAGTGTGTGCAAATGCACAAGGAATTTGTTGTGTTTTTTAGGAGCTCTTGGTACAAACATACATATGACAACAGAAAGAACATTTAAATAAGACTAAGGGAATAAAATGATAATAATGTGGTATGCATCTGGAACAGGAGATGTATGTACAGATTTGTGCATTATTTACAGTATATAAAGCTGTATAAATAAAAATGTTTATATGTATTTACATAATACTAGAGAGGGATGCAATGATTAGCTATTAAGAAATGAATTACAGAAGACAGGTGGTAATTTCTGTGTTAGCTGTTTAAGCTGGAGATGGCATGGGAGGAAAATGTTTTTATGCCTAGATGTTCTAGTGCACAGAGATCTGTAACGTCTGCCTGAGGGGAGAAGTGCAAACAGGTTGCGGACAGGGTGAGAGGGCTCTGTGATGATAGGTGCATTCACGTCATATCAGAATTACCGTGATTATGAGATACCAACTAGTAAAAAGCATTCACGTCCTCGTAGAACTCGTAATTACAACTTGTGAACTGGGAGTTTTCTGAGAGCTACAACTTGTACCACTACCACCTGACCACCTCAGATTCATTAGGTGCTATGTTTAGGCATTGATAGTGCGATAGTTCAGAGTCCAAGGGTGTGAACAGCTCCAAGTAGAGCGTCATGTGTTGTCATCTCGAAATTACAGTAATTACGACCTGGCGTGAATGCAGCAGATGTTACCTGCCCGTTTCTTCACTCCTGAGTTGTACAAGTCCTGAAGGTTGGGCAGGTGCACACCAATTATCCTTTCAGCTGTCCTAACAGTCAGTTGCAGTCTTCTTATATCTGATTTGGTGTCTGACCCAAACCAGACAGTTATAGAAGAGCACAGAACTGACTCAATAACAGCTGAGTAAAACTGTGTCATCTGTGCCTGTGGCAGGTTGAACTTTTTCAGTTGACGAAGGAAGTACAACCTCTGCTGGGCCTTTTTCACAATGGAGTCAATGTGATTGTCCCACTTCAGGTCCTGTGAGATGGTGGTGCCCAGGAATCTGAATGACTCCACTGCTGCCACAGTGCTGTTCATGATGGTGAGAGGGGGGAGTGCAGGGGGTATCTCCTGAAGTCCACAATCATCTCCACTGTTTTGAGTGTGTTCAGCTCCAGGTTGTTGTGACTGTACCAGACAGCCTGCTGCTCAACCTCTTGTCTGCAAGCAGACTCGTCACTGCCCTGGATGAGACCGATGACAGTGGTGTCGTCCGCAAACTTCAGGAGTAACTTCAGTCCTGGAGGGCCACTGTCCTGCATTGATTAGCTTGTTCAGGTGTGTTTGATTAGGGTTGGAGCTAAACTCTGCAGGACAGCGGCCCTCCAGGACCGAAGTTGCCCATCCCTGGTATAGAGAGAGAAGAGCAGTGGGGAGAGCACACACCCCTGAGGAGCTCCAGTGCTGATGGTGCAGGTGTTGGATATGAGTTTTCCCAGTCTCACAAGCTGCTGCCTGTCTGTCAGGAAGCTGGTGATCCACTGACAGATGGAGGTGGGTACAGAGAGCTCTGTCAATTTAATCAGGAGGGTATCTGGGATGATGGTGTCAAAAGCGGAGATGAAGTCCGCAAACAGGATCCTTGCATAAGTCCCTGGTTTGTCCAGATGGAGGATGTAGTGCA